ATATCCTGGTGTGACACTGCAGGATAATACACTGTATCCCAAGGTCAGTTTGAACCTCAAGATCGTTTGTTCAAACTCATCAGCCACTCCTCGGAAACCCTATGTAGGGTCTTCATGAGTAGCAAATAATTCCATGACACATAACAACAAATATATATAGTTTCTGCACTCAAGGAGCTCAAAATACTTTTGAGCTTAAAATGTAACTGAACAAAATTTGTTTCTAATTTCTTTTAATGATACAGATATAAAAATATGAGAAAATATTAAACAGATGATTGTTTTTGGGTTTGGTTTTTTTTAAGAGTCATCCAGTCAGTTCTGATCCACAGCAACCCTGTATAGAGTTTCTGAGGAGTGGTTGTAGAGTTTGAACCACCAACTTTGGATTCAAACAGACTTTGTAGCCCAGAGCACTAACCCATAATTTAAACAGTAATAAAATTAAGAAGTTGGGAGTGTCATGCCTCTGTAGAATAAACACTAGAATGCAAAACACACCACCAGCGGTTCAAGCCCACCAGCCATTCTGTGGGAAAAAAATAAGGCTTTCTGCTCCCACAAAGATTTACAGCATCAGAAACTCTATACAGAGTCACTGTGAGTAGAAACCAACTTGACTGCTCATAACAATAACAACAACATTAAGAAGTAAGAGTACCATGTTTTTACTCTGTCAGGCTATAAATAACAAAGATAATATTCTTAGAAACAGAAGGATGGGAAGATATTAAAACAAGCAAACAAACAAAAAACCCAAGAATATTACTTACAAGCCAGTGTAGGCCTGCTTCCAATAGCCAATTTATAATAATGCAGTGCTTCTGCAAACCTGCTGTTCTCCTGGAGAAGTAACCCCCTGCATAGGAAAATAGAAATTTGGAGACAGGAATGTATTACTATACATAAACCACCAATTTTAATTTTGTTTTCCAAAAATAATAACGGTTAACAGGGTAATAAAAATGCTGACCTAAAACTATAATAATACATCTAAAGAGAAGAAAATGTTTCTGCAGGAGAGAAAGCACTGGAGAGAAATCAATAGCATTTCTATAGAATTACAAAACATTAAGAAGGATTTTGAAAAAGATTTTTAGCACCACGGAACTTTCCCATTTTGAATCACCTTTTCTCTGTCTAGAATTACAAACCACCTGGATTGTTTCATGCAGCATGTACATCTTTTCAACACTTCAAAAAGCAACCTTTCTAATGCAGTGTTAATATGGAAAACAAAAGAAAAATCTCTAGCAGGCCATGTTGCATGGTAAATGTTGGTCCAGGGTTTCTATAAAGGGTAAAGGTAGTGTTGATGGGCCAATAGGAAAGAGAGACAAAAGTTAATCAGATACCACAGGGAGAAAAAAAAAAGTGAAAATTGTGGGAGAGGAAGGTTGAAGGTTGTTCATATTACTATTTCTTTATTATTTGCATTTGATCAAAACAGTCTGTATTTATGAACACTGGGCAAATTTCAGGAACTATGGCAGTACTTTTAGGATAAATACTGGAATTACTAACCTCAATGTTGGCAGTTCAAACCCACCAGCCACTCTATGGGAGAAAAATGAAGCTGTCGATTTATATAAGGATTTACAGTCTCAAAATTCCTAAATAGAGTTAGTATTTATTATATTTGATTTGATGGCAGCAGATTTGGTTTTAGTTTATTGGGAAAATTGTAGTTCACTATCCTGAGACACACCTTTTCTACAGATCCAAAAATTCAATGGGCTATCCTAGGAGGCTCTTAAAGCAGCACCTATGAGCAACCTAGACTACCCTGGACTCTGGCCTGAGGAACTAAATGAGAACCCATTATAACTATGCTAATACAAATAAGTTGTCAAGGAATTGGACAGAGTTCAAAAAGCAATCCCAGAGGATGTTTTTTGCTAATCCCTATTATGTTGTAATCAGTAAATATCCTATAGACATTTCAGCCTCAGTATTACTGTTATTCAACTTATCAGCTGCTAAGATCCTTGAAAGAGTGGTTTTTGTTGTTACTAAGTGACAACAAGTTGGACCCATAGCAACCCTGCATAAGGTTTCTAAAGAGTGGCTGGTAAGCTTGAACCACCAAGCTTGCAATTCAAATGGACTTTGCAGTCCAGTGCATTAACACCAGGACCCCTTGCAAGGCTGGTTCAAAACCAAAAATAGCAAACTCACTTCTGTTGAGTCTATTCTGACTCATCGAGACCCCACAGGACAGAGTACAACTGCCTAGCAGACTTTCTAAAGTTGTAAATGTTTAGAGTAGCTTTCTCTTGCCCAGTGGATGATGAGTATGAACTAGGACCTTTCTGTTAGCAGCTTACAGCTTTAATCACTGTATCATCAGGTTCTATGGCTGGTATAATGAAGGGAGAAGAAGAGAAGAGACAAGAAAATAAATTTCTAGTATACTGAAAAAGTATATGCATAGAGGGAAAAAGTACAAATCACATTAAAATTAGTTTCATATACATATGAATGTATATTTCCATAAAACATTTTCAGCAACAGTTGATTTGTACATGAAAATAATATGGTGATACTGAAGACAATTTCCAACTGCTGGTCAGCACAAGGAAGAACAAAGAATCTTGAATTCACATTTGCAAAAACAGTCAATTGTATTAAAATAGGAAAAGCTCACATGTTTTTCCACAATAAATAACAATCCTTATAAATTTAATTGTATTGACATATATTCTCCAGTTAACCCACATCATACATAGGGGTCTCAAAAAAGGTCATGGAGATGTTGCCTGGTTACTACTATTAGCTGCTATGAAAAGGAAAACATTAGAAGGTCTTAGATAAAGTGGGAGAAAATGTAGATCAATTATACAAAAGGTCAGGGTTACTGGTCAGATAGAGACGGGTGAAAACCGAGACTATGACCACTGGTCACCTTCAGGTCTGAAACTGAACTCACCTTCAAGGTTCAAATTTCAACCTAGCAACAGATAGGCATAAAATTGGAACAATAACAGTAGTGAAACACAACATAAGATGGTTGGTTATTCATTCCAAGTTAAAAGGATAGCATTTATCCAAGAACAAACTTCAGAAGGGCTGGAAAACTATGAGGAATGGAAACAAGAAACAAAAGGATAAAGTGGGATATGTGATGCTACATTGAGGGG